ACTAAAAGCTCCCCACAGACGGCGCCAAATTGTTTGACCAAAAAGTGTTAAGCTCTTTGAGTAAATCAATTAATAATGATAAGAAGGGTGAATCTTAGTTAAGGATAATAAAATCTAAACCGAATACTAAATGAACTAGGCAAGATGGATGATGTTAGTTGGTATGTTTGAGCTGATCAAATGCTCATAAATGAACCAACATAAATGTGCAATAAATATAGATTGATGCGACTTAGCATAACAAAAAGGGATTTACTTTCCAATAATTGTAAGACTCGAACGATTCCTTCCTCTGACAACAATGTGGAATGAATGGAATAATAGAGAGTTCTCGGATCCTTGGATCTTGCAAATATAGAACCGAAAATGTGAGCTTTGAACAAGGTAATCAATTAATAAGTCAACTTTTGTATATTCTCAGGTCAACTCTTTATATAAATAGTGCTCTTATCGAGAAGTGAAGCTCCCCTCTTGTTCTCTTCCTATTTATAAGGGACATTTCCGAAAAATCCTAAAAAGTACAAAGCAAGAAATATCCAAAGGAATATTCCTTGTGTCTATATTTGAACTTATGCTACTGTTGTCTCCTCATCCCAGCTGCCCGTCTTTAGCATCAACCGTCTTGAAAGCACCCCTCAATTGTTATACCATGATCGACCCCGTCCTTTATCTTACTTATACATTACCACCGATACGTCAAATTTAGACCTATACAAATCTGAACTAACTAGAACTAAAAAAAAGTTACTCTGAACTCTTTTCGTTTCAGAAAAGGTTGTTGAAACTCAAATAAGAAACACGTGCGAAGATACATACAATATTAGGATATGTGAACTTCCTGGAAATTATCAGACTTAACAAATGACGAGTTGACGACTATATATTAAGTAATAAAACCTTAAATTTCCAGATACCTAATCAACTTCCATAGGATAGACTACAGAGGAACAAGAAATCCCAGAAAAGATTTTCCTAGTATTTGTCGACCAATTAAAGAGAATGCAGCCTGGAATTTCATCAGAAATATTTGACCTAAGCAATATTATATGCTACGATTCCATGGAACATGACTTCTCTGAAAATTCTTCGTTTTCAGAAATCTTTTCAGAAATAAGCAATCAAAAGGGAGATACTACTCCTACTTCATTACAAACGTGCAATAACCTAGGAAGTAAGGAGCGTGGTGTACACGCACCAACAAACTGGAGGAGATACAGAGGCGTGAGGCGACGCCCGTGGGGAAAGTTCGCGGCGGAGATAAGGGACCCTATAAGGAAAGGCGCTAGGCTTTGGCTCAGGACCTATGAGATGCCTGAGGATGCAGCATTGGCTTATGATCGATCAGCGTATAAACTGCGAGGGGCACGACCTTATTGAATTTTCCTCATTTGATTGGTTCAAATGTAGTGGAGCTTAATAGAGTGAAACCGAAGAAGCGTTTACACTCTCTTGAGCTGTCCTCTCCGTCCCAAACAACCAGTGAGTGTACTACTCCAATTCCAAAGAAGAGAAATGTTGAGTTAATAAACAGCCTAGCCAAAGCCAATTATTTTAATACTCACAGTATCTTGGAGAGAGGTTTGAGTTGGGAACTTTTGCCTAATACTTCTTTTGGGTTGAACAATTAGGGGATAATCATATAAAGGATTTGAGCTTCAACATATGCAAGCAGGAGTATTTACTTATGTAGCAAGGAATTACATGGTGTATTAACTGTTGTTTTACGACCTCAATTTTTGCCAATGGTTTTGGTACGTGGATAAATTACTTAGGGGTCGTCTCGATAAGTTAATGCGTAAGTATAATATAAGGATTGTAATAAAATGATAGTAATTTCTGTATTATTTAGTGCGAGTGCATTCTTGATAGAGAGGTTGTTCGGTTCATAGTGTAAAATACAGATCTATAATTATGTATAATATAAATTAAAGTATGTGTTTGGCTTTGAATTGGATAAACTTTTGGTTTCGATTATAATCTTAGCAATGCCCAAAAGGTATTAAAGAAAGCTTCGGAAGAAGGGCAATTTTATCATTTGAATTGTTTTATTCAAGTACAGTTTATCGTTGTATTATATTGTTAGCCCACATCATGTGCTGTAAAATAATGCAATTACTGGTCATATATAAATTAATACTGGTATTAAGTCTACCTGTCACGACTCTAAACCCAGACCCGGTCGTGATAAGTTGGTATCAGAGTCTAGGTTACATAGGTCTCACAAGTCATGAGCAGGTTTAGCAGAGTCTCGCGGATCGGTACGGAGATGTCTGTATTTATCCTCGAGAAGCTGCGGAACCTTTAGAAAAAACTTCACATTCTTGAATTCTTGTCGTGCATCCTTGATTTAGCTTAAAAAGTAACTCTTGGAATTCCTTCCACGCATTCGTATGCGCGAACGAGCGCTCAGTATCAGATGTGTATCGATGGCTTGTGATTCCCTGATTGAGGGGCGAGATGTGATCTCTATGTGCTGATGTTGAGCCAGTCTAGAGGACTCGAGGCCGGATTTTTGCCTATAGCTTGAGCACCGAGGTGCTGATTGTGTGAGCACGTATTTTTGGATCTATGTGTTCTGTTGTGTCCCTATTAAGGGAAGTAATGACTGGAGAGTACGTGATGAGGGTGATGTGACTGCGAGATGTATTCATATAATTTAGAAGCGACGAGAAGGGTCTGCTAGAGGATGGAAGAACTATTAGGTGCCTGATTTCCATCTTGATTTGAGGTATAACACCGAGTTAGGGGTGCGTGAAGAATCTTTTCCCGTTTCCTAGTTAGGAGTGAAGTAAATTTCATGTTGCGGTATGAGTTCAGACTCAGGAAGACTAAGTGACTGCGTAAAGTTTATGTCGGTGGAAGGTATACAGAAATATTAGTTGGAGGCAAAGCAGGTGGGTTATCTCCTGCGCAATGTTCTGAGTTTGCGCAATCCTTATGTTGTCTGTTAAAAGATCTCAATTTCAAGTGAAAGATATATGTTGTAATTTGAATTTGGGTCGCTTAAGAGAGTGGGTTTAACTATCACGAGGGTGAATGTGAGATTTGCAGAAGATTTAAAGTACCAAATGGTCTGTGTTTCACGAGCTTATGAGGACTGAGTTTAACCTCACTACGGAAGTATGGCAGTAATAGAGTATATTCATTATGAATTATGGTACGTGTTTTGATCTATGGCTTCGAGCCAAGTGGGGGAGCTGCTATTGATTAGCTGATTGCACGGTTATGTGCTATGTTGGTTCCAGTTTGAGGCGTGCTGGTGAATCAGTTATGGTTTGCGGAGATTGAGCCCGAGGATGGCTCGGGTAAAGGAAAAAATTTTCGACTAAGGTAAGGTTATATCATGCTTCATAGGTGTTTGAGAATCACGGAATGTCTTGAGTTGTTGTTGATAAAGAATGCTCAGTGCATAGGAAAGGAAAGTGGCTTGGTTGCATCAAGGTAAGGTTATATGCTGCAGTGTCAGAAGTGCCAATGAGGCGCAGGTTGTTCGGTTATTTTGATCGGGCTAGTTGCAGTTTGGGTCGAATGGATGACTATAGAGAATGGTTCTAATGCATTCTGGGTTTTACATGTAACAATTGGAGATTTTCAGGTGTATAATTTGGCTAGAAACTGAGGTTTTGCATTTGGAGGGGGTCAAGACTTGAGTCATTTCTATATCAATTATGGAATTCTATACATCAGCATTAGGAAAGTAATGTCTTCAGATTCACAGGAGGTAGTTTCAAGGTAGGTATTCTGAATGTGGTGCTTTTGGGGAATATTTGAAAAAGAATTCAGCGGGTTGTGAGCCTTAGACTGTGTGGTATCATGCTTGTGTCTCGTGTGGTGAGTCTGGGTTGAGGAATCGCGATGTTATAGCAAGAAGCAGTATTAGGTTAAAGGTAAATCGGAAGGGAGCTCGGATAGATGGGATAGTTTGGTAGTATGCCGAACCAGTATGGCAAGGATATGATTAGTTCTTTGGATGTTTGCGAGGTAATGAGCTTCTATAGGTGTTTCACGGTAATGCTCTTAGATTTTGGGTGGCCTGCGTAGCTTGGTTAAGTTAGAAGGATTCATTCATGTCAGCTTTGGTTTTGTCAAAAGGGGAGACGGAGAGTTCTTGATGATTTCTACTGCGGTTAGATGCGTATTTTCTGCGAGTGTAAGAAGCAAGGAATGTGTAGAGATTTTCTTCTGAATGGGATCAATGGAAAGTTCTTGGTTGGTTGAGTACATAGTTGCTTGTGGCTCGGAAGGGATATGAAGTTTTCATGTTATCCTAGGATGGTATGGTATATGCGGTATGTTGTGGGGATTGAGATTTGCGTGTGCAAGGTTACGGTTCAGTTCTGAAAGGAAGGTCATAAAACTCTTAGGCAGCGGGCAGCTTCAGATAAATAGAGAAATGAGCTTCAGATGATTAGGGAAATGATCTTTAGATGATTAAGAAAATGGTATTTCTAATTTGGGTGATTTGATGAGAGTATATGTCTCCGGAAAAAGGCGATGTGATTAAGCTGATGGTACTTCGGTAGTATGGTGGCACTTTCTTGTTGGATCAACTGCTGATATTCGAGTTTGCTTGGTGGCACAGAAGAATTTTAGAGTATCTCTCGTGGAATGATTGGGATCAGGTATGGTGATTCGTGTGCTATATGGAGTTGGAGACTGGGAGTCCTCGTGTTCAGGTTACGTTGTGGTTGTGGGTCGCGTGCATCGGCGCTGTGTAGTGACTACCAGAGTTTAGAGACCCGAGTGGATCTTTTGCTGCTTGGTATGTTAGATTTTGGATGTGATATTGGGTATAGACTGGTTGTCGCAGTGTTGTGTCATTCTAAGCTATTGCACTAAGGCGGCGATGTTGGTTATGCCGGGAATGCCACGGTTCGAGTGGCGAGGTTTGACGGATTATGTCCTTAGTAGGGTGGTTTTATATTTCAAAGGCCCAACGGATGGCTGGGAAGGATTGTTTTTCTTATTTTGGGCTCTCGTGATTGTCAGTGCAGAGGCTCCTTATATTGATTCAGTTCCGGTGGTGAGGGACTTTTCGGATGTGTTTCTTGTGGCCAGGCATGTCGCCGGGCAAGGTTGTTGATTTCGGTATTAATTTGATGTCGGGTACCGTATTGTATGGCACCGGCAGAGTTAAAGGAGTTGAAGGAGCAGCTTCAGGATTTCCTTGATAAGGAGTTCGTTGTGTAGGCCAATGTGGATGCGTGTTCTAACTTGAGTCGGCTTGGTTGGCTCCGGATTGTATTGTTGAGGGATGTGTTGATCCGATTGCTATTGAACTTATTAGTAAACTGGGGAGGTCTATGAGTTACCTTTCTGTGTTGTGAGGTGTTATGATTTGTTGGTTATAGGCACATATGGTGCGGTTCTATTGGGGTTTCATAGTGGAAGTCGAGCGGGAAGAGTAATTGGGTGTTGCTCGGTTAATGGCGTATCGGTTATGTCCTTTCGGGTTTGCGTGGCATATGTTATTTGCTTCACCGTGGGTGTGATGATTTGCTTTGGTTTTAGACATCAAATTGTGCGTGGTTGTCGATTTCGAGCATAGTGACTTGAAGTGTTTCATGTGGAGCAGTATTGGGATAGGATCGCGCATTATAGCGAAGTTATGTGGGGATATGACCTTACGGGTTAGATTCATGTGCTCTATTTCTATGATGTGAGGCGGGTTCTCAGCCTGGTGTTGTGGTGGTACTGGTGAGCTTGCGGTATAGCTCTTTCATTTGAATCACTTTCATGATTTGAGGATGTTCGGATTGTTCTTATTGGTGCGTGGATTGCGCAAGTTGCGACTTTAGTATGCATTGAGGTGTCATGCCACCGGAGTGGTTGTGTTGGATTAGATGAGATCGTTGGGATCTTTAATGAATGCGAAGGGATTCGATTTCAGCCTGTTGGAAGGATAAATATCGAGGTTCGGCTCAGAAATTGCTACGGTTTTTGCCAAAGGAGAAGAGGCTTCATGAATGGTTGATCTAAGAAATGGTTATGGCTTACTGTGTGTTTTATTTATCATTGGCAGTATATGTAAGTGTTGGGATGAGACCTTAGTTGATAAGAGGTTTTCTATCGGTATTCGGTTGTTGTGTGCGGCTGCTGTGATTAGAAGTTATCGCTGAAAGCATGGTATATCGTGTAAATGCACCTGAGGTTGCAGGTATGGGTTGTTACAGCTTGATCGGGCTTATTCCCAGTATAAATGTGAGAATTCATATCGCATTGAAGATTTCAGAAGTGGAAAGGTGGTTCTATGGTTTATGGGCTAGATTGAATTGTGGAATTTCAGTTTCTATGTGTTGTCGGACTTGTATGAGATAGGGTAACGTGGGATCACCCCCGGGTATATGCATGGTACGGCTATTCAGCGAGTGGTTGCT